TACTATACGCCAGCTAATTTCTAACTCTATAATAAGCACTAACCCTAACTTAAATGAACTTCAACATTGTCACGTGAAAGTAAAATTTTTATGGCGATACTGGGGAAGATAATTTTATTACACTTAATCACATGATACACACTATTTACCACTATATAGTACAAAAATTCTACGAACGAAAGTGTGCAAATTCATTTACATACCTAATTGCTAACTACGAATTATGCGAATTTGCATTATCCCTAAGCACTGTCTGCGTGGCTCACCACTTTCAGAATGAATTAACCATCGTTATTATAATTCATGATTTTCTGTCCCAAGTACTAAGTACTGCAGTGCTATGCATTTCGTATGATCATTTATCCTTCTCAACTACGATAATAACCTTTAAATTTGGTATATGAAAGTATGTAATGCATAAATAATCAAGCATGTGTAGTAGAAATTTAGTATGTAACTTATAGTTCGTAAAAAAATTTTTTATCTATAAACTATACCAACCATAACCGAAAAAGGACAATATTAGCACTCACCCTAACCCTAACTATCGAAAAGGGATCACTTATAAAAGATAAATTTTATAAGTTTTGCTAACTATATATGCTTTTGTAGATTTTCTTTACAAAAAATAGAATACATTACTTACATATAAGATGAACTTTCTCAAAACTTATACCACCTGTGGTTAATAATCGCTGTAATCGCTGTAATCGCTGTATCAAGTGTATCTCAGATAAACTGTTTCTTTAAATAAAATGGTTAGCTCTCACTAAATATATTGCTGCCTAGACTTTTTGAGAAAGCAATGCTATTTACGGTCGTTGCCTATAAGAAATTATCACAAAATTTCAAACCAGCATCTTACACAATGTCGATTTACTAGAGTACAAGATTAAATATTTTTCACCAATTCAGACATAACACCACTGAATATTTTTGAAGCCATAAGAAAGATTAGTAACTTTTGTATTCATAATAAACGATAGTTAACTTTTTATTCTGGCTGCATTGGCATTAATAAATTTATCGAGAAATAGATATATTCAGCTGATATTAAAAAATTTGAATAGCCCAAAACATTACATTCGTCACGAGAAATGAGAATCATCAATTCATTATTAATTCACATACAAGCAAAAACTTTACGAATCTAAGCAAAAGTTAAATTACTCAATATTATCCATTTCAGCACCTGACTCAGAACCACTTGAGCCAACCCATTCATTCTCATTTTCCTCTATAAGATCATGATTATGCAATTCTTTTTTATGGCCACACCCACCGCAAAGTTCACATATAATCCCAGAATCGTAGCTTTTATTTTCATGCTTGGAATGCCATCGACGATTATGACCTTTACCACCACATTCGCCACACGTATTAGTTCCAGGGCCACGTGGTCGTTTTTCTTGAGCTTTTGACGATGGATTCTCAAGCGATGACTGATAACGTGCTATTTTTGGTGGTCGCCCTTTTCTAGCTTTCTTGACAGGATTAGAAACTTGAGATTTCTCAGGGATGATATTTACTTCAGGACGTTCTTTAAGAACGTTTGTTTTGTAACCAGAGGAGGATGCCTCAGTTGTATTTTCAACAAGAGAACGTTCATTTTGAAGAATATAACCCTTTAAAAACTTAAGAACGTGTGGATCATCCTTTTCAATTGCGATATTTATTGCTTTTCGTGCAATTCCAATAGTTTCAGCATAAACTTTTTTTTTTTGCATTGCCTTTTTAGCAACGACAGACGTCGAAAGACGAGTCATAGTTGACATTGCATTTTGTGCAGAAAATAAGTTGGCAGATTCATTTGACCGTAATATAGTAGTTGGAATTAATGACTTAGATGGTTCGGATAAAAAAACTGTAGACAGATTAACAAGAGGCTGTATACCAAGATCATTATCTTGATATTTTTCAAGCAACCAACGCTTTGCCACAAAATTAATAGAAAATTTTGCGGCAGAAGAGTACGCCATAACCCGGAAAAAATGCCTGCATGGATATCCACGATTGACTAATAACATACAACTGCATATATAAGAACCATCTTTAAGCAAAAATACGTGAAGCCGGGAATGTTGCCAGGTCATATGTATTATTTCCCAAACTTCAACTACTTTGTCTTCGACTTCTTTGAAGAGCGCAAAAGAGTGAGCCAATGGATAATCAAACGCATTGTCGACGAATGCTTCGTCATTATCTTGCACCTATAATAATGAATAAAAATACAATTAGATCTAATGTATTGTTTTGATAACAATTGCTTTAACTAACATAACCTTTGACAAGTTCATTTTACTGATAACAGGTTTACCAACAATACTTTACCAAAGATATTTATAGAATGGTCTCACTAATTTATATTTGTCAGTAAACTGGTTATCAGTAAAATGAGCCTATTGTTAATAAATGTAATTTAAATAATCAGAATGAATACCACTATATAACATAGTAAAAGTAATAAAGTGATATTTTCCTGACATAAATGTAAAGACTCTGGGTGTATTTTAGCAGAATGGTAAAATAGGCTATGGTTTATTTCGTAACGAATTTTTTCAATTAAATTTGGCGCAACGAAGGTTTTGAGAATGGTGTCAACATTTGTATACATAGTATCACAAACGTTTGGTGGTTTAATGTTTGGATTTGAAGATTTCCAACTAATAAAGTCATAATGATAGTCTTGGCTAGCGATCAAGAAGTCAAGCGAATTAAACAAATCGTACAAAGTTGTATAGCCACGGCTTATAATAGATTTGATATGCGAATTAATTGACTCAACGCGACTGGTTGCTTGTGCACCGGCAGTAAAGTGACGAAAGGTATATGCTCTTGCCCAAGATTGTCTATCAGGATATAAAGCTCTGTTGAGATATTGATTTGCTTTTGGATAACGTTCTTGCAAAGATTTAAACCGATTTTCAAATATTTTTGGATCCAATACATTCCGGGTTTTATAAAAATCCTTGATGAATGAATCCCAATCAGATCCTAATTTGCTTTTAAGTTTTTTTTGTAAGTTCTGACCAATGTGCCAGATACAATGTAAATGCTGAGTTGAAGGCCAAATAGTGGAAATGGCAAGTGTCATGGCGGGGTCAGCATCTGTCAAGATGCTATTTGGATAAAGCCCATCGGTAGCTTTAAGTAAGACATCAAGTAACCAGGAATATGAGCCTGCTGTTTCATCGTCCAATATTGCTTGTGCAACAAGGCGGGATCGGTAAGTATTATCTATAATGATAAAAAGGGATAATGGCATATTATAAACATTGGTTTTTGCTGTGTTATCGTGAAGGACAATGTCGCTATACCGCATCCAAAGATCAAGTTGATTTGGTGACATCCAAAAAAGATGTGTCAAAGCACTAGTATCTGGATCAAAACGCCATTCAATGACCCATCTTGAATCCTCCTCCTTTTTTTTAAATAGTTTAGACAACAACTGTGATGCATCATTGTCACTATAAGAATTCTTTTTTTTAACCTTTGTAATTGCGTTATATAAATTGCTACGATGAATAGAAACTTTGTACTTTTCCAGAAGAAGTCGGTACTGAGCACTTGCATTAATTTTTCCTGATAAAGTATAAAATTCAATATCTTTTAACATCTCATCAGTAAGCTTTCGATTTTTGGGAATAAATTGTATGGTGGTAGGATCGGGAGTATGACCAGTATGAGTGCTTGTAAAGGTAGATATACGATATCTATTTGAACGCTTATTCCAGTATATATTGACTTTCCATTTACAATCAGTTCGGCATGAGCCAGATTCTTCTGTTTTATATGATTTGTTTTTGTCTGACGGTTTTCCAGCATGACGACATATGAATGACCTTGAAATTTCACGCCCATTACTTGAATCCTTTTCAACACGTCCCTTCCGAATTCCGAATCCATTTGAATGAGCAAAGGACTCAACTATAACATATGCTTCCTCAGCTGTTTGAAACGTTTGTCCTGATAACATAAAATGTTGTAAATTTGTTTTTTGATTTCTAAAATTACAGAGCTTACAAATGAAACGCTCACAGCAAAATCAGGGGATGGGACTATATATTGTATAGTCCCATCCCCTGATTTTGCTGTGAGCGTTCCAAATGCTTACCTTCATAAAGCTCTAATTGTTCTTCAAATTCATTATCGGATTGTTCGTCCGACTCATCATTTATACAATTAATGTTAATATTTGAAGTAGTTAAACACGTGGGTTGTTGTTGCAAAGCAGGTCCATTGATCAGTGAAATGGTTGTAGGCAGAATACTGTTGGATAAAGGATCAACATTTTGTAGTTCCATTCGAAACTATTCAAAAAACAAAGACTTTAAATAATGCATTCATAAGGGCAATCGAAATTTTAAATCCTGCGGAATATTTAAGTGTAAAACCGTAACATGCTTGCCTTTTTGCAAATTATATCCAGAAATAAATAGCAGCAAAAGCGAACGATTTCAGAAAACTATTTAAAGATTTTTAATACTGTATTCAAGTTACGATAACAGAAACAAGATATCACTGCATATTCAAGCATAAAACTATAACAGACTTGCCTATCCACAAACTTTTCACAAATTATGTCCAGAAAAAATAGCAAGCGCGAACGATTTCAAGAAACTTTTAAAAGATAAGACTTTATTACTGCATTCAAGTTATGATAATAGAGGCAAGATACTACTGAATATTCAAAAGCAAAAGTATAATGGGCTTGCCTTCTAAAAATTATGACTGGAAATATAATAACAGCGAACGAGCGATTCCAAGAACCTATTTAAAGGTAAAATTGTTAATATTCATTCAAATTATAATAACAACCATAAGCTAAAGTTAGTTACTGCAGAATATTCTGTAACTTAACTGGCTGGCCTTTCCACAAAAAATCCGTCCGAAAATAAATACAGCGAATGCGAACAAATCCAGTTCAATAAATATAAGGAAAATAGACGGTTGTGGTCACCTGATATTCGTCTGATAACTTTTGCTTCACACCCGCTTAAAATTTTATTATTTTAGTTTTCTTCGATTTGCACTAACCTAAACTCCTCATTTGCAACGAAAAAAAAGTAATAAATACCGGCTGATGCTTTTACAAATAACCTGTACACGCACTTTTATTAGTTACTACACCTAAGCGAAAGAAAAAGTCTGTCAATTTTAATCATGCCCCCCTATTTATAGTATGTTGCACATCTTTATCCAATTAGGCAAACAATGGACTGATTGCCATTTAAACTATAGCCGTGTAACATAGGGTTACATAAAAATTATTATAGTATATTATAGTATTATGCACTTTATTTTGGGTTACACCGAATAATCGTGCAACATATAGTCACATGGTTTAGTCATACTTATCTACCCCGCACATGGTGCGGGGTGCACCAAATAAATTTATTCTA